CTGTAATGCACTTTCAATATCTTTACTTGCTTTCCTAGGAGTAGTGTTAGGTTGTAAGCAGAATCCATTCATCAATATATCATACGACCCTTGATTTTCAAGGCGCCGGAGCACCATCCTTGTTGTTCGTTCACTCACCCCATATATCACACGACCGTCGCTCCCTGAGCAGCGCGCTGGAGCACCGCCCAAAATCCACCACCAACACCATCACTCGACGGCCTTGTAGTTCAGGCCGTGAACCTAACAGCCGAGACCAGTTCCTCTCTCGGCTACAATCGTTTGACTAGGAAGACAGATCAAACAGGCGCACCACTTATCCATCCAACACTCATCCAAACATCAATGCACGGTAGACCGTGCTGGCACGCCTGCGCACAACCGCACCGCACCCAAAAGCAGGAAACCCCGTGTTAACGCACATCCCCTCGGCCCGGAACTCCAGGCCGTGAGATTTGCGCAGCAGACAAAATCCGAACCAACCCGGACCTGTCCGGTTTCGATTCGGTTCCTGCGGTTCTGGTTTGGGCATGGTCCCAAAAAGTTTTTTTTTAATTTACAGACCTGCCCAAAAATGTAATTATATACCAACATACCCCAAATTTGAGGTTCCATCAAGCTTTCAACACATCAAAATGAATCAAACTTCAACATATAAATTACAACTCAAATTCAATCAAACTTCAACAAAATAAGTTCCAAAATAAATTATAGGCCAAATACAACCAAAATTCAATCCAAATATATATTACAACCCAAATTCAATCCAACTTCATTAAATTCCTCATAACATTGAAAAGTACCAGGAGCTGTGATGCTAGGTGTGGATGAACTCATAATATCTACATAAAAAAAACATAAACACATTAAAACATTAGTTAGATGTACATATTATATAATACATTAATAAAGCACATAAAATTACAAAGACATACCTAATTCAATCGATTCATAGAACTCCATCTCTTGAATGTTTGGCTCATATTGTAAAGAGGACATGTCATCCGACCTTAACCAATTTTGAGAGCAAATTAAGGCCTCCACAATCTTAGGAGTCAAAGAAGCACGAAATGAATTAACTACCCGACCACCCGTGCTAAAGCATGATTCCGAAGCCACAATTGATACCGGGATGGCAAGCACATCCTTTGCAATAAGTGCCAACCCCGGATACTTAACCCCATTCAATTTCCACCACTTCAAAACATCAAATTCGTCAACCACATCTATTAGTAGTGGCAGAACTGCTACTGGAAGCTGCAAACTGCTCCATAAATTTTTTGCTGATCTGCACGAACTGCTGCCAATTCAATTTCCTAAATCAATAAATTGTACTAAAGCATTGCAAGTACTAATAACAATTTCAGATTCACATGATAATGCCATATACAACCAATAAAATATTAACAATTTCAGAAAAATTAACAATTTCAGAGTCAATCTCGCACACAAATTGAGAAAGTAAATTTCAGATTCACATAAGCATTGTAAGTACTAATAACAATTTCCAATTTGAAATACACTCTGTACTATTTTTTTTCCTTAATCATGAACAGAACAGCAGCCGCAAGTACACTCTGTAGTCTGTACTATTTTTTTTTCCCATCCCTTTGTAAAACCCATATAATCCTAAATCAATTTGAACCACAACCCTAAATCAATTTGAAAAACACCATGTGCAAACAGCAGACAATAACAAAGCTAAGAACTAAACTAAATTTGGCAGCATAACAATCAGATACAATTAAATAAATTGAAGACGTAAATCATACCAGACAGAGAGAAAGAGAGGTAAATAAAATGAAGAGATGGCTGCGAACTGCTGTGCTGAATCTGTGAAGAATATAACATTTGGAGTGAGCCAGAGATTCAAAGGGGAAACGAAAAAGAAAAAAACGAAAAAAAGAAGAGACAATCTGACCTGTGATGGCGGCGACTGAGAGAGATGGAGGCGACTAAGAGAGGTGGCGGCTCTGAGAGAAGCGGAGGCTGAGAGAGGCGTTAGATGACAAAGAGGTTTGCCTGAGAGGAGGTTTTGCGCAGAGAGGATTGGCGCAGACAGAGCTTCTGTCAGAGAGGATGAGAGAGAGGAAGGATGAGAGAAAGGTAGGTTTGGCTAAGAGAGATGATGGCTGAGAGAGGTTTGGCAATGGCGCACACAGAGCCTCTGTCAAAGAGGTTTCGGCGGCTGAGAAGGAGAGAGCTTAGAGACTAGAGAGAGAGGATCAAAATTGGAGAAGGAAAGAAGAAATGAAAACCTAATTGGGTTTTAATTTTGGTGCTGATCGTGTGCATGCAATCCTATGGTAATGCCATATACAACCAATAAAAAAGAGCCATGTGTAAAAAATATATTATAAATATATATAATATAAAAATATATATCAGAAATTCTCTTATGCGGACATCCGGACGTTATTATCGTGCGGACGCAGTGTATTTTGTACTACCCCTCTTTGTTTTCCTACCTGTTTACAATAGGATCCGCACGATAATAACGTGCGGACATCCGGATAAGAGAATAACTGAAATATATATATATATTAATTGTATTGGATCGGTTCGGATTGGACCGATTCTGTGTGTTGAAAAATCGAGACCAGAATCGATTTGAACCTGTTCAGTTTGGATTTTTTTTTTCGATTTTTGACTTTTTCAGTCAACACGGTTTTTTTTGGATTTTTCCGGTTTGGTTTGGTTCGGTTTTGCGGTTTTGTGGTTCCAATGCCCACCCCTAATCGAGAGAGGGACCTACTGCTACAAGGTCATGCCCTTTGGGCTAAAAAACGTTGGCGCAACCTATCAAAGGCTCGTAAATAAAATCTTCAAGGAGCAGATTGGCAGAACTATGGAAGTCTACGTGGACGACATGCTGGTCAAAGCTCCCAAACGTGTAGATCACATCGAAAACCTCGCAGAGGCATTCAGTCTGCTACGCCAGTATCGCATGAAGTTGAATCCAAGTAAATGCGCGTTTGGTGTATCGTTCGACCGATTCTTGGGATACCTAGTCACACAACGAGGTATCGAGTCACACTCGCGCCAAATCAAAGCCATTCTGGAGATGAAGTCGCCTTCCACAGTGAAGGAAATACAAAGTCTGACGGGCAGAGTAGCGGCTCTCAATCGATTCCTCTCGAGATCTACCGACAAGTGCATGCCATTTTTCAAAGCTTTGAAAAAAAGGACAAAGAGACAAGTGGGATGAGGAGTGCGAAGTAGCTTTTCAGAATATGAAGACTTACCTCACTTCACCTCCCCTACTCTTAAAACCGATACCAGGCGAAGACTTGTACATCTACCTGGCGGTGTCTGACTCAGCTCTCAGCTCAGCTCTCATCCAAGAAGAGTTGGGGGCACAACATTCGGTATTCTACACTTCAAAAGCTCTCCTCGATGCAGAGACTCGCTACTCGAAAATGGAGAAGCTCATTTTTTCGCGAGAAAACTAAGGCCTTACTATCAAGCTCACCAAATAAATGTCATGATAGAATTTCCTTTGAGATCGATCCTCCACAGCCCTGATGCCTCTCAGCCACTTATGAAATGGGCAATCAAACTTAGTCAATACGACCTCCTCTATCGGCCGAAGATTGCTGTAAATGCTCAGGCTTTAGCAGATTTTGTTATAGAGTTTACTCCGACAGCCGAAGAAGATAAGCTGGTCACAAAAAGCAAGGAAAAAGTAGACGATACCTCCCCCACCGATTCAAACCTACCTAAAGACATGTGGCAGCTGCATGTAGACGGAGCGTCAAATCACAAAGGAGCGGGGGCAGGCATCATCATAATCACCCCAGACGAAACTTTGTTGGAACAAGCCATCACACTAGGCTTTCCTGCTTCAAACAACGAGGCAGAATATGAGGCATTGCTCGTCGGACTGCGCCTAGCAAAAGAACTGTCGATCAAAAGATTGTCCATCTACTCAGATTCCCAGTTGATCACAAATCAAGCCTCAGGTGCCTCGGGCAGAGAACGCGCATGCAGATGCACTAGCAAGCCTAGGATCAGCACTGGATACCCAATGCAGACACTCCATCCCGGTCGAACACTTTGACCGACCAAGCATTGAAGAAATAGAGCCAATCGACGCAATGCAGATTGACGAGGACCCAAGCTGGCAAGACCCCATCATCGACTGGGCCATGAAAACTCCAGCAGAAGGCCGCGAGATACTACATGCACGGTAACAAGCTCATCCGCAGATCATACTCCGGCCCACATCTCACCTGCATAAAGTACCCTCAAACACTTGAGGTTCTTTGCAAAATTCATGACGGCGAGTGTGGCAACCACTCCGGGGACAAGTCACTCGCCCATAAGGCTCTAAATATAGGCTATTTCTGGCCTACCCCCCGCCATGACTCCATTGAGTATGTCAAAAGATGTGATCGCTGCCAACGGTACAAACCAGGTCCTAACCTGCTTGCCGAAATCTACCATCCGCAGAACAGTCCGTGGCCTTTCATGCAAGGGGCCATCGACTTAGTGGGCCCCATGCCAATGGCACCAGCCAATAAAGAAATGATGATCGTCGCCACTGATTACTTTACTAAATGGATTGAGGCCGAAGCTCTATCATCTACTAAAGAAGCCGATGTGGAACGATTCGTCTGGAGAAACATCATCTTCCTTTTTTGCTGCCCACAATCACTAATTACCGACAATGGCTCACAATTCATTGACAAGCAGATGACTGAACCCTGCACATTTCTGAAGAAGAGAAGCAACTACTTCAAATTCCAAAATGTGCCACAACAAAAGACAGTTTCCCATAATCAGCGTCCTTCGGGAGACGCAGGGCAACGACCAAAAGCGTCCTTTGGGAGACACAGCCCGTAAAGAAGCGTCCTAAGTGAGACGCAGGGTGCGCTAGGAATTTCCTAAGGGAAGTATCCAGGTTCCTATCCATTTCCTAAGGGGGGTAGGATAGTCATACAGTTGCTCATAAAAAGCGTCCTTCGGGAGACGTAGGGCGACGACCAGAAGCGTCCTTCGGGAGACGTAGAGCGACGATCAGAAGCGTCCTTCGGGAGACGCAGCTTGCAAAGAACCGTCCTCAGGGAGACGCAGGGTGCGCCAGAAATTTCCTAAGGGATGTATCCAGGTCCTATCCGTTTCCTAAGGGAGGCAGGATAGTCGCATAGTTGCTCATAAGTAACGTCCTTTGGGAGACACAGGGCGACGACCAGAAGCGTCATTCGGGAGATGCAGCCCGCAAAGAAGCGTCCTCAGGGAGACGCAGGGTACGCCAGGAATTTCCTAAGGGAGGTATCCAGGTTCCTATTTGTTTCATAAGGGGGGGCAGGATAGTCACATAGTTGCCCATAAGGAGCGTGCTAAGGGAGACGCAGGGCAACGACCAGAAGCGTTCTTTGGGAGATGCAGCCCGCAAAGAAGCGTCCTCAAGGAGACGCAGGGTGCGCCAGGAATTTCCTAAGGGAAGTATCCAGGTCCCTATCCGTTTCCTAAGGGAGGCAGGATAGTCACACAGTTGCCCATAAGTAGCGTCCTTCGGGAGATGCAGGGCAACGACCAAAACACCCTACGGGACGAGTAGAACACGCCCGGAGTCCCTTAAGGGGGACCCTGGCACTTGTCTATTTCCTAAGGGAAAATATCCTACGGGATATGCAGAACATGCCCGGAGTCCCTCAAGGGAGACCTCGGCACTTATAAATTTCCTAAGGGAGACACACAATCAAGATATTGGCTGGTTACTCAAGCAGTTTACAAGTCAATACGCAAATTGAAGTTGAACAAATAACTGAAATTTCTGTAGCAAGCTAGCCAACCGGCCAAGTTCAACAAAAATAAGATGGTCAAACAAGACCAATTATTCTAAACAAGAATGCAGACTACAAGGTGAAAAAATAATAATAATAATAAAGGAGTGTTCATTTACTCTGAGACGCCAGCATGAGGCCCTTGATCTGCAGCCTCTTCTGCATCCACCTAATCAGCCATGCCTTCAGCAGCTTCGCTTGCCTTCTCCCCAACATCTGCCATCATCTCATCTACTGCGTCCTCCTCAGCTCCATCCGCTCCAGTTGCCTGCTCTTCAGCTCCATCCATGTTCATAGCATTAACCTGCTCACTTTGCACATGGAGCAAGTCAGAACAGAGCATCTCGATGTCTCCATCTCCAATGGCATAGAAGGGATCATTTCCATTTGAGCAGTCTAAGTAGCCCAGCTTGTACGCATTCATGGTAGCTTCAAACTTGGACTTTTCAACGGGCTTGTTATAGGTGCCAAATCTAGCCAGAATCTTGTCATAACTAAAGGAGACATCAATATTCTTGCGCTCAAGACAGAAGTAGGCATCTTTTCGACTTACCAAGTCACCAGCAGAAGAGGGGGCAACAGCAGACGAGTTTCAGATAGTTTCAGCAACAAGAACTACTCCTTTTTGAAGCAGATGAAATGTTGCTTCCTTTTGTTTTTCCAAGGAAAGGCTCGAGAATGTGCCAAGATCGCCGGCCTGACGGATGTGATAGACCAACTCAGCACAGGAGGACGGGTTTGATAGGAAGTTCGTCTTGAGCAGATCAGACATGCATGCATGCCCTGCAGAGCTAGACTTGTTCGCCTTGGGATCAACCACCGACGTTGAAGAAGAACCCTTCGCCCAAGCAGATGTCTCCCTCATCTTCTTAGCCTCTGCCAACCTCGCCTCCAAAAAAGTCAATGAGGCAGAATCAACTCCACGCTTGACTGCCCGTGTCTCAACGACCGGGCCATGAGCAGACCTCCTGCTTCGATCTCCATCCTTTGACTAATGCTGACAAATCGAACTTTGAAGAGGAATATCTGCATCTGTTTGACGCTCGGCAGAACAGGATCAGGCACGAACTACCTCACGAAGCATATCATGATTTTCAAGCTTGTCAGCAGGAGGCTCGGGCAGAACACCCCGAACACCGTGCATACCACCACCCTTCGTGCTATATGCGCCCACGAGATGTTTGGCCCTAGTAGATGATGATTGA